CACAAACGATAGTCCGATGCCCAGATGCAGGATAGTCTCTCTGTTATCCACCCCCCCGCCCCCCAACCGTGTGGAGTCCCACAGCCCCCACCCCCAACTCCGACATTCGGATCGATGTGCTCCGTCTCCGAAGGTGCTCGGGGCTTCTGCCGCCACGTCACACGGCGCTCGTGTTGCCGTAGTATGGGGGGGGGGGGGGGGGACCTTCAGATGTCACTGATCCACACAAAGAAAAGGCTGTAGGGGAGCTGTAGAGGCGTCCGATCCAGAAGGAGATGAGGTTTATAAATGCTGACGAACGCCTTGGTGCCTGGGGGGGCACACGCTCCACATGCCACGCACAAACACGCACACACGAGCGCCACACGCCACGGTGGAGATCTGCCAGCGTTTCCGTTTATATGTCTGCCTACGTGCCAAAAATTAACAGCTTGCCGTGCTGGCACAATGTGTGTTGGGGGGGGGGGTTTATCGCCACTGTGGTCTCACACACACACTAACGTCCTCCGTCGACCAGACGGCTCGCCTGGAAACCGAATCGCCAGATTATCGTGTCCCGAGTTGGGAACTGGAGCACGGAGACTGGCACGCCGCTCTGCCTGTGTCCATCTCTGACCACGTCGGGGTGTCCGCAGAACCCTGACGGACGTGGGGAACCATAATATAAGCGACTGCATCTTAGGGTCACCCAAAAAATAAATAGCCGAATTCATCGGGATGCTTCCTTTTCTGAAGGAAGCAAGTTGAACCGGATTCTTGTTTTTCCACAGTTTGCATGTTGGTTTCCTGAATGCCCCAAACGGCTAAACACAGGGACACCGGACGCAGGAGCAGACATCAGACGGTAGAGGAAGTGTTTGATTCATGTCTGCGTCCGACCTGCCGACTCATCAGCTCGCAGATTCGTATCTTAACAGCTCATCTTTTACCCATGAAGACTCAGACCGCTGGGGTCGTGACCCCAATGATTCCATCAGACAAGAAGCTTGGGTGCAAGAGGCAGGACGCCGTTTTGATCTTGCCTCTGATCAGTGATTCCCATCACATCACCATGCAGATCACAGACAACTCGATTACCGAAGGTCCCAAAGTGGACCTTCAGATGTGGACACCCCACGATCCATGTGGACACGTTCTCCGGCATAATCAGCAAGTTCACAGAACAGTCAGTCAGGCAGTCAAGCCATAATCACTGATGCACATTTCTGCAACTGATCTGCATTCTTTTCTGAACAAAAATTTCCCGGAGTGATTTAGTATTTAATGCAGAAATTATTGTTTTCCCTAGATGCAAAGTCAGGACACTCAATGCTCGTTTTTTGACAAAACCTCTCAGTTTCAGCTTCTTTCACATGGGGAATTCTGCACCTGAGGGGCTGCAGGGGTGAAAACTCCAGTGTAGATCCTGCCAGTCATATTCCAGATCATCTCCTCTGCCCATTCACAGGACTCTGCTGCACCAGAGAGATAAAATATTACAAATTTAATCACTGCTCCTTTAGTAACCAGCAGGTGGCAGTGTGGTTAAAGGCCTGGTATTGAAAAGAGTGTCATCTCCAGTTCCTCCTATGGTAGCTGCGGCAAAGAAAGGGAGATGACTGGCTCAGTAAAAACAAGCAAATGTATAAACGGGTAATGTAATATCAGCACCTTATTATTTGTTTCCATTTACCCAACTCTAAAAACTATAGCCATCAGTGTGTTGGAGGGACCTCTAGTGGTGGAGGGTCAGTCCGACAGACTCATAAATAAATAAGTGAATCTCTCACAAAATGCCACCAGTCAGAGGGGAAACACAAGCTTCCCCAAGGCTAAAGTACAGTGGCAAGAAGCTGCAGAAGCATCTCACCACCTTCTCAGGAGAGCGACGCACCGACAGACACGGCACCCCGTCACGCTGCACAGAGGCACCCGGTCCACGACAGCCCGACTTCTGTCCTGTTCTGAGGTCAAAGGTCATGGCTGCGTCGACCCAAGAAATTGCCTGACGCATCACCCAGGATGCCCATGGGGTGTGTATGTATGTGTGTGTGTGTGTGTGTGTGTGTGTGTGTGGGGGGGGGGGGGCAGCCCCAGACAGATCAA